TGCAAGTCCCTCGGCGGCAAAACAGCTTCGCGGCATACGAGTAACTCGCGTCGCTCCCCGAAAAAAAATTAACGCCGCCGCCTCAGAAGTTTGCGAAGGAGGCTAATGATCATCACTTAGATCAATCACTGTGTTCAGTCATAATGTGTGAGCAACATTACTGTCAACATGGCCATCAAAGACAATCGGCTATCACAAGATCCTTTGAAGACGAAGCTAATTGCCTCGGACAGCTATGATTTGATTTGACATAATGAGACCTTAACACGATGTTATGAATGCGATTGTCATGTAGATCAATCAAATAGTTTTAATCCTTCCTTGTGCCACCAATCAATGTGTTCATTCAAAATGCGTCAAAGAAAATTACTGATGACGTGATAATCAAAGACAATCAGTTATCACAAGATCTCAAAGATCATTGATACACCTGTGTTGATTTCATAACACGGGATTTGAAATCTTATGATCGTGATGTTTTTCTCTCTCACAATAAAAACCCACAATAGAAAACAATTTTATTTTCGACATTAAGCCCTATTCATACTAAGCCTTGCAAATTACGAGGTTCAGGTAAGTCGCACACCTCACAACTGATTCGTGTGACGCGCGAATCTTCGAAATCGTGTCCAACTGCAAGTCGGTGCGAGTTACAGTCCTTGCGGTTTGATCAAAAGCCGTAATCTAAGCTGGAGTCCTCCGTACGTCAGGAATCAACAGGTTTTGGCGCTGTTGTGGTCGCGTACATCTTTCAAGCTTTTCTATCTTTGTACGGTACTGCTTTCACGCTTTCATATGGCATTTCTTGGCCACCTCAACATACTCGTTCTTGTTTATGTGTGCTTCCCTGTGATCCATGATCGGGTTGATATGCAAATTAAATCGGCTCAAGTGAAAAATTCAGACAGAAGTCTCTCAAATCCGCTTGAAACTATCACCCGAAGGTGGTGTGAGATCGAGGTGGTTTCAATGTGCGTCCAGACGGTGCCACATGAAGCCTGCTTCGGTGGGTCCAATTTCCAAGGCTTAGCACAAACAGGGGTTAATAGCATAAGCAACAGGCCAAGCCTGTGAGGGGAAAATGCGACGTCTGGGACCCTTTGAAGGGGTTTTCAAGCCAACAGTCTTCCTCTAGTATTTATTACTTCAATACAGCGCAGGGGCTACAAGGTGAGGACAGTGCTCCTGTGGTTCATGCTGATCAATACGTGGAGGTGACAAGTGCTGGCCTCACTGGAGAAATATGGTCGCTGTGAACAGAAGATATAAGACATCGGCACGTGTGAAGGCATCTTGTACGAGCTGCCTTAAAAGCCACTATCATTTAGAGATACATATCAAAGCTTGCCTCAAGTTGATTTAGAAAGTGAGAGAACTTTTTGCAATATACATTAAAACCATTTTTATGTTTTGGATAAATATCTTACTGTTACAGAACTTGGCGCTGGACTAAAGCGTGAATTTCCAACTAGCGGCCTTTCTTATGCCCGAGGTGTGCGCTGATACATGACCCAAGATAGACTTGACTTTGATCTGGAACACTGAAGAAACGTATGGTCTCTCGTGAACGACTGATGTTCCATTAGTTGAGGACAATCCTCTGGGTAGGTCCTGCCCTCCTTTCGTATGATCCATTCCAGAAACCCTACTGACATCAGTCTGAAGACGCCTACGCCGGGCTCACTGTGGTTGAATATGGACCAGAGGCAGAGCTATAGCTACTTCTTTCATATGAAACTTTGGGGCTCCCGTTAAGAGTATAATCCTCTTTCAAACACGTTTCTCTCAACTAAACAATTTCTATTTGTTCTCAACAGCCTCCAGTTTAATTTCGGACTAATTCCCATATCTCAGCAACCTTACATCTAGATGGGCACGTTAATACAGTTTGTATCATGAATTATAGGTAAGAATTATGCATGAAATACATAGCAGCCTTCGAGGACCCCTTGGGGATTTTTAATTAATCCAATACTGCAGAATTCTAGAACTGGAGCCAGAATTCTGCCGAATTCCTGGAAACGTCTGCAGAATTCTGCACACTGGAAACTGGAGGACTCTGGTTAATCCCTAAGGGGCCATCGATGGCTGCTACGTATATGTATTTCTTTACCTGTTTTTTTACCTGTAGTTTACGATATTAGCACATTTAGATGTAAGGTTGCTGAGATATGGATGTTGGTCCGGAATTAAACTGGAATTCCGGAAGTAAACTGGAGGCTGTTTCTCACAACTGGGCAAGGTCGTATTTCTTGGCAAGTTGAAGCTAGCCACCCCCACCCCCTCCACTAGATGGAGACCAAAATTATATTTCTATGGTCTATGTATTAATGAACTAAATGTGGTGCACGATGTAAAAGAACGATTTAGAAGACAAACAAAACACACGAATCTTACAAATCACATTTTTGATCGATGAAATGTGTTTGAAGTAACCAACGAGAGTTTGGGGCGCTCAGCGGTCGTGGTCTCAGTGGAAATGGGGTATTACAGAAATGCATGCCATGAGCCATGATAGTAATGGTAAATGTTTATATGCACAATCAAGGTATAAATTACGTAGTTTCTTGAGCCGTGCACCGGCAAGTTATTTCATAGACGCTCTAAAGGCTTTATCAGAAAGGGATCCAGACTTGCGGAATCATGATTGATTGTTTTAATTGGAAAAAAGGCTTGGTAGGTAGATAATTCATTTACTTTGGTAAGACACATAAGTACATTTTAAGACAGTTTTGAGATTTAGTTCATATGTGCTATTTTGAGATAAATTTTAAAATGTCAACAGTGTTTTAAAAGTCATAGAGAATTTAGAAAGACAACGCTATAATAACATAGCATGTAGAACCGGTGAAAGCTCGCTCAAACCAACTTTACCATTGGATATCTGTCATAACTTTACCAGTCGAAGGTACGTAAGCGGATTAGCTAAATTGGATATGGTGCCTCAGAAATGAAAGCGATGAGTCATTCAGACATTAAGTTGAAAGTAGTTCCAAATAAATCTTTTTTTATCTTAACAACCGCTGTGCAGCCAAAATATGATCATATTCGTATGCTTTTAATTCAATATATACAAATCAAATACAATCAGAACAACATGAAGGAGGCTGTGAATTCTGTTAATGAGTTCCATGTCAGACACGATAACACTGCCCTGTCAGAGCTAGCTTAGCTGCTGCACTCATAGGCGGGGGGGGGGGCAATACGAGATCGCGGTTAAATTTCATTTGCATCATTGAACCGTGGATCGAGCAAGGTCATGGTCAGACATGGGAAAGGTCAAGAACAACAACTCCTTCGAATTTTGGGCGGAAATATTGGCAGTGTGGTGGTTCCACCTCTCCATTTTCACCCCTGAATGAACAAAACGGTTCGGAATCGATTTCCCGGCAAACATTTGCCGCTCCGTAAATGATGGTTTTCAGTTCACCTCATTCACCCCTCATCACTCCCTCTCTGGTCTACCAGGATAACACACAGGACAGTCCACAATACCTGATGGTACGGCAGGTCACAGTCAGTCAAAGAACTCTGAGCAGATTCATTAAGGGTACGGAAGTATTGTTTTGGGTGGCTGAGTTATGAGTTTGTGTGTATGTTTGTCCAAGTAGCGACGCGTGGTGGGTGGGAGTTGATTTTGGCAGTTGATTGGTCAAGCCAGGAAGGTGGCACAGCAGTGCACGCGCTGGGTATAGGAGTGTGCTGTTTGCGTGAACGAAGAATTAAGAATTCATATCATGATATCAACAGCATGCACAAATAGTCGCCAAGGTTGTTTTTTTAACTTATTTTGTGTTTCTTGTCTTTTATATACTTTTCGTTCCTAGAAGCTCGGTACGGTCGGGCCCAGGTGTCAAGCCAAAATGCATGACACTGCCAACTACATGACTCCGACACTAGGGGGTTTCCAATATACATGAAACAAGGGGTGGGAGGGGGTTGGTCGTGATGTGGGAGACTAAACCTAACCTAAACTAACCCTAATCGTAAGTCTAACCCCATCCCGGAACAATGATCCCAACCCGAACCCTAATCCTAACCCTCTCACGTATGTGGCAGCTCTAGGATTTGGCTCAACACCGGGCTGGATTGTGATCTAAGTGATCATTGTTCAAGACCGCCAATGAAACAGGCCTACTTGCGCAGATGTTCAAGTGTGCTTTGAAAGACATCATACAATGACTTAATTGCACAATAATTGAATAACGCCCATTTCTCGTTAACGGGGACAGATAGGGGTTTAAAAGTGTTAGTTTCTAGATTCAGATCTACAAATACACGATCACACGATCTCAGATCACAGGATTCTCTTTGTCATTCCTCCCTTTTATCGAACTTCCAAAAGCAGCCTGTGGTAAACAGGATGTGATTAGAGGATAGAAAACGTCATTCCCATCGCCTGAACAAAGCACTGAAAAGCGAGATACCAACTCCCACGGGTAGCAAAGGCGTTTCATGTGGATGTCCACTGCCCTTAGGGGTGCCGTTTGCGATTCTTCAAAGAGCTACAGTAACTGTGCGTTGTTTCGATTAGTACGATGTCAAGGGAAAAATATTGCTCCCTCATGACACCACTACAAGCACAGGCTTACAGCACGGATTGGTCGTAACTCGTCCATCGGAATAAAGCCGCTGGGTTTCAGGTAAGATCTCCGCCTTGCTCCTTTATTATTTGCTAAGTTACGTCCATACTTGCGCTGCATTTGCTGCGTCACTTGACGGCAGTGGATTCATAACTTAGCCTGCATTTCTCTCAATAGGCGCTAGGGAATTCGTTGACGAGGACGGCTGGCAAACTGTCAGAGAACTGAAGCTGAGGCAGACGGCCAAGAAAGAGAGTGGTCCCTATTGAGGTCGCTGTCAGCACTTTGGCAATATTTGCGCATCAAATGCTTGACAGGTCCGGTTCCAAAGCTTTCACAAGGGGGACGTCCGTCCAATGACGTTGCCTGCGAGGGTTGTGTGTGCTGTGTATTCAGTACTCTGGGATAGTTGATCACAAGAATATGAGCGCAAGTGAACCATCTATCTCGAAAGACAGAAAGCTTAACATCTCTATGGGTGATTTCTTCCTTGACTTTGACATGGATGTCCTGATCGAGGCCTATCGAGCTCTGTTGCGCTCCAACGACACCGACTCGTCGGAAGCTTATCGCAACTTAGTCCGCACGACGTTTGAGGAAGACCCGCCGGGTTCAGTGGATGGCGCGGTGGTGGTGATAGGGATTCTCTACAGCCTCATCATGCTGGTGTGCGGCATCGGCAATCTCCTCTTCCTCTTCGTGCTTCTTTACTACAAACAGACCCGTAGTACCACCAACCTTCTCATAGGCAACCTGACTCTGTCAGACTTCCTGGTAGCCATGATATGCCTCCCTTTCAACATGGACTACCATGTCATCCACAGCGAGCAGTGGCTCTTCGGACCGGCTATGTGTGCCGTGGTCAACTTCCTGACCTTCGTGTCCCTGTACGTGTCCACTCACGCCCTGCTAGCCATAGCAATCGACCGGTGAGTACAACAAATACTAGTATAACGTTTATTACCCTTATTACCTTCACCAAGAAGGTTATGTTTTCTTACTAATAATTTCCTTTGAATGTAATGAAAAATATCAGAGGCAAATAATCAAGTCTTCCCTTTGTGGCATTATTTTTAATTATAGCGTGTATTTATTCCTAATTGAAATGAAGCATGGACCAACGGGCGTACCTAAACTTCGTTACCGCCAGCTTAGCGTAGGTATGCGTTCCTTCATCAAGATGTAGTGTCCGCAAATATTCGTCATTGAAACAAATTCAAATTCAAATAGAAAATTCCTTTTTCGTTTGTTCATTATGAAGGTCAACCTCGTCAACAGTGCATTCAGTACGTGTACAGTTGCCATCTTCAAGAAACGTAAATAATAGTCTTTGGGTTATTTCTTCTCTGGGTGTCGAAAATACCGACCCAGAAAAACTCAGGATGGGGGACTTGTGACTCGTTCAAGGTTTTTGGGTAACGAAAAGAACCACTGTACAAGTTTTATTACTCGCATGGATTTAAAAGTATTGGGTGAGGTCGGTTTACATCTCTAGTACTGTTAACGTTATGGTGATTTGGCAGATAATATGCAAGGTATCTCTGTCAGTTAGTCTCAAAAGACTATGACATTGCAGAGGTGATCGATGGAATATATAACTTAGAGTTAATTTGGATGCAATACTGGTGTGTTACAGATCATTGTTTAGATAGAAATACTGGAACTTTTTTCCTGACTCATTTGATGTATTTTAATTGTAGGTCAATAACCGATATGGCCATAATTCTGCTTAGTTTTAATTTCTCTGGCAGCCCAGCCAGACCAGTTTGAAACTTTGCTATGTAACTAGAGCGGCCAGACCGCCTGTATTACCACACACCTGCCGATTCTGACAGTTAAGATCGTTTGAAAGTGGAATGGGCTAATTATTTAATCACAAGAAATGACAATTAAAAATTTCATTTCGGGGCTACGTGATTACAATTAAGCTGTGGGTTTCAGTTATCTTTCTTGGGAACCGGACCCAGACGGATTGCCTTCCTATTGAAAAACTTTCACGTGGCAGCCTAACACATAGCTATTAGAGCCGGCGAACGTACGAAGCTGAGCCCACGGCAGCGGCTATTGTAGCAGAAATGACTCACGAAATTACATGGTGTTATGCAGTCTTCCTGTCAGTCACAGTAGACGTTATGCGGAAACCTGATAACATTTTCCTGGTCTAGTCGACGCTTTGTGTGTCGATAATCGACATTGCACTTCTGCCTACGATGGAATTGTGATGGTGATGCGCTAAATTCTGCCTTCTCACGATAAATGTCTGTTACATCGGACCGGTTTATCTATAATCATAACAACCTTGTTCTAAGAGAATTCCAGAAGCCATTATTGAGATGCAGCACCGCGTAGTTATAAGATTTAGAGAATATCCACCGGTAGTTATGAACATTAAGTGGGCGACAGCAGCAGCAATTATCTATTGTAGTAGTGCCACTTGTAAATGACTCGGAAATTACCGTGTTCCTGTCAGTCGCTATAGACATTGGAAGGAAGCAAATGTCATTTTTTCCTTACCTACGTGACGTTTTGTCGATAACAGACATTGCAGTACATGTAGATTCTGCCTTCCTACGATGAATTTCTGGCTGACGAGACAGGTTTATTTATAATCTTGCCAACCGTGCTCGGCGAACGGTCTGGTGATTAAAGAAACCATTACCGATGGAGCTCACAGCTGACAACTCCAACAGCTGAGATCGTTGTTAGATAGACTGTGCTAATTTCTCACATGAAATGATCTTTTAGATAACGTCTTTTGCAGTTATCTTTTTTGTAGGAATTCTTCAAGTTTTCTACTTTTAATTGTGTTCATGAGAATGGTAATTAGCGGGATTTCCTTCTAATGTCAGCTGGCATCCTAGTGCAAAATCATCAGAACCGAAGAACATGTGCGTGAAGTTACGAAGTTTCCGACTAATGATAATTAACCTTGCTCGGGGAGCGGTCTGACCAAAGAAGCCATTACCGCGATAGACCACCACACACTTGCCAACCCCCGTGGTCAAGATTGTACTAAGATAGAATAAACTAATTTCCCACACGTAATGGTCTTTTAGATTGCATATTTTGGAGTTACGAAGAATGTCCAAAAGTTTGCTGTGATTTGAAGTTGCCTCCTCTTCACGAGAATGGAATTAGAGGACTTGGAGCTAAAGATGGGTTTTGACTTGGAAGTCTAATACATAGTTTGAGAACTAAAAAGAAAATATCCCCATGAAGTTAGGAACAAATTGCACCAACAGCTGTTATTCAACCTATTGGAAGAGACTGAAAATGACTGTCTTCCTGTCAGTTCTCGCGAGCGCTTTAAGGCACTGTGTTATTTTCACCGCTTCTTGAATCAGGTATTCTGTGTTGGGCACGTCCATCGTATAGGCAATCCGCCCTAGCTTGCTGTGTTATTATATAGGATGCCCGGCCTCCATTGCAATTTTAGGGACTACTACAGAGAGAGACGTTTTTATACTCGATTTAGAGAAATACTCGGTTTAAAGCATTAAATACCGTTTTGTACATGTACATTTTAACACTAAACAGAGAATTTAACAGAAAGGTGTGTACAATGATCCCCAATGTGTATAGTCTTCTAAATGCGTTAATTAATCATAGGTATTAACATAAAAGTCTTAATTGCATGTGCCTTGTTCATTGGATAGTTTGGAAATTATTTGGAATGGCTTGTGAAGAATGTTGCACGTTTTGTATTAATGGAGCCATCGCGATGTGCCTATCTGTTTCTTCACTTTCAGCATATATAATAATTCCCTTTTCTTATCAAGTACAAATGTGTACTCCTTATGACGTACAACACCAAACCAATGGTTAATGTACAGTGGTTATCTACAATAATCATTATACCTCTGTTGAATGTTCCACCGGTCCAGCCCAAGTTCTTAGTTCCCTGATCCACATGAGACATGATTAGTGTCATCCTGAAGATTCCATCCTGCCGTTTGTTATGTTACGTTATAGACGTCCTTGACACTATGGTACATTTCACGTGGGGACTCGGCTTCTGACAGGGAACATCATCTAGAATTCATATCATTTGGCAATCAGTCAACCAGAAACTAATATACCATACGAACAACCAAGGCTCGTTGGAACAACTTTATACTGGGAAATATAGGACAGATATCGTATATTAATGTGGCTGGCTTCGTTAGATATTACCTTTAGGGTAAAATTTGTCTTCTTTATTTAATCTCCATCGTTCATAATCTGACCTTCTGGGAACTCACGTCTTGAAATCAGTCCCTAATGTCCCGGTCTGATGATTACAGTCCAACAGCTCTGAGGGGAGAGTTATGAGGGAGAGTTCAGAGAAGGCATGGTTTCCTGGGCTGGAAGCTGGCCAGCGGAGAATTAGACTTTCAATTAGACTTCTGTATGTCACCCTAAAGGACTTTGGAAGCAAACTTTTCTGATTCTGCACTAGTTATTTTTCATTTGCGTCATCTTCCTGAAGCTCAATCAACTGGTCTGATAGTAGTCTCATTTAAAACCCAACTGCATTCAATGATATGAAGACAGACTCGGCGCCATGTGACTTGTTTGAACTATGGCCTCCGTCTGATGCTCTCAGAGCAAATATGTCATGTCATATCTCATGTCATCTTGTTATCCTAATACTTATCGAATATATTAGGAATATCAGGATGTAATGGCCAAAGTGAAAAGTGAAGTACCGAGACAAACTAATTTTCAATTTTGGAAAGACTTTTGACAAGATTATGTTGAATTCTACCTTTGTCATGCCTTTGGATTATGAAACTGTAGTATCCTGACGTCATAATTATAGTATCTGTAGAAGAAGATATCATTAATAAAGACTGATCTTCTTTTGACGCACGTGGGGTATTGGAAAGTAGATATTGGCTAATGATTAAATCTGTCTCGAATTCTTTATATGAAGTAAGCTTAAGACCCACCTTGTCGTTTGGTTACATGTTATGATGACGCTGGCTCTGTGTGTGAGTGTTTGGCCAAATCCAACTGTCAGAAGTTTGTAAGCCTGTCAGCAATATTAGGCTGAGCTCACTGGAGCGTTATTTTCGGTAATTCGACTCTGTCAAAAATAAATTGTTTTGTTAGCCCCACAGCGGCAGCATAACAGATATGACAAATGCTGTAATGCAGTTTTTCTACATATGATTGATATTCTTGCTGAAAAAGGAATCATGTTTTCACTCTTCAAAGATACTTCAAGGTCCGAAGAATGTCGCATCTTGGAGGCCAGTTTCTTCAACATTGTCTTTATTTATTGATCAGAGCCACAGTTGAAGTTTAAATCGCAAAGGATGGGTTGAAAGAAGCTATTTGGCTGCTTACTTGCCTCAACCTTTGCCTTATGGTTTTGCTTTATGTATTTGCTTCATGCTTTTGGACGATTCGTTCCGTTCCGGTCAACCCCACAACTAGATTGAATTCTTAAACAATACGCCATGGGACAAGATAACATCGGCGCTCTGTGACTATTTTCCAAATCACATTTCCTATGTGAGACAAACCATTAAGGTATTTCAACACTTGTATCTTTTTTATTAAGCTTTTCTGTGGCGCAGTGGAGATTCATTTGTTACGGTGTGATGAAGTCGTACTAAGCATGGCCCATTGTGGCCCTTGCGAAATGCCATCATATTTTGATGGTTTCTTTCTTGCGTATTTCGCAAAGACCTTTGACGCAAATGCGCGCTATAATTACCTTCGCCAAGAAGGTTATGTTTTCAGTAGCGTTTGTCTGTGTGTGTGTGTGTGTGTGTGTGTTTGTGTGTGTGTGGTTTAGCAAAATAACTCGAGAAGCAGTTGATGGATTGGAATGAAACTTGGTAGGTGGGTAGGTCTTCATGAGACCTAGAAATGATTAGATTTTGGGCCCCCTTACGGCTTTCCTAGGTACTGCAGCTTAACTTCCATGTTCTGGACATGC